CTTAATTCAGAACAATCACAGTGGCCTTGTCTGATTGGGTGTTCTGTGAAATTGTCTATATTCAACAGAAGTACCCCAAGGCCTGCTGGACTGCCAAGTCAGCTCCTGCCTGGCAGGGACTGTTTTGGTCTTTCTCAACAGCATACCCTTTTGCACCTTTATGGTTTTATACTGTATACTTATCTTATTTATTCAAAATAATTTTTAAAAGAATCTCAGGACTGGGATTCCCAGGGGAGATGGCAGAGTAGAAGGACCCTAGGCTCACCTCATCCCATGGATACAACTAGTTAACACACAAGTGTAAATAACTCAGAAAACAACCCAAAGACTGGCAGAATAAACTCCACAACAAAATGTGCCTCAGGAGATGAATGGATAAAGAAGATGAGGAATATACATACAATGGGATATTATTCAGCCATAAAAAAGAATGAAATCTTGCCATTTTCAACAACATGGATGGAGCTAGAAAGTATAATGTTAGAAAATAAGTTAGAGAAAGACAAATACCATGTGATTTCACTCATATGTGGAATTTAAGAAACAAACAAATGAACAAAGGGAAACAGAGAGAGAGAGAGAAACCAAGAAGCTGACACTTAACTATAGAGAACAAACTGATGGTTACTAGAGGGGAGGTGGGTGGGAGATGGGTGGCACAGGTGATGAGGATTAAAGACTGCACTTATCACAATGAGCACTGAGTAATGTATAGAATTGTCAAATCACTATATCGTATACCTGAAACTAATATAACGCTGGATGTTAATTATACTGGAATTAAAATTAAAAACCTTAATAAAATTTAAAAAATAAATCTCAGTACTGAAGGAGACCTTAAAAGCCACCGAGCCCTGAAATTACCCCAGTCACCACCACCTTCTTCCCCCTTCCCACACCAACAGGGTTCTCTTGTGAAACCCCCTGCAAGTGCCAGTACAGCATCTGATTGAATATCTCCAGTTTCACCATTGTACTAATTTATGAGGCAGCGCATTCCATACTCAAATCACTGTTCATATATTTTGTTCAGGGGGAAAGAGAACAATACATTTGGTTATAATATCTTAATTGTTTCCACCCCAGCATGTTTGACCTCTTCAAATGCATCTTCTCCTATGGCAACTAGTAAAGCAGAATAATTACCTTTCTAATTTTATGTAAAATATTCCTATTAATACTTTCCAAACTGCAATTGTCTTTTTTTGTGCCAGTGTTCCAACACAGTTTTGTATCTTTTGTTATCATTACATTTGCAGAGATTCTTATCTGTTGCTGCTGACAAACCCATTTGTTTTTGTACTCAATTACATGTAATTAGTCTTTTCTTCATGAACAAAAGAACAGGTGTCTTTATCAATTCAATGCAAGATACCATGATAAGGTTGGTTGGACCTAATGATGTCTAGTGAACTGAACAGCACAATTCTGACAGATGCTCATAGTAACAAGATTTTTTTTTTAAACAATCAAATGGTTTTACTCCTGCCTACACAAAATAGAGAAAGAAAAGTCATTTTCACATCTTAGAGGCTTATAATTTTCTATTTAAAAATTGAGTAGAATTTAAATCCTCCTCTGATATTTTTACCCTTCATCCCCACTAAGAAAAAGTATAAATAAAAATTATTTGCTTTCACTGGAAATTTTTTCAGTGAAAATATGTGGGGGGGACTGGGGAATCAGAAGAAAGTGTGTTAATTGAAAAACTGGCAAAATCTGAATTAAATCTATAGCTCAGTTAATAGTATTGTACCAGTGTCAATTTCTTATTTTTTTCTTTTTTTTTTAAGATTTTATTTATTTATTTGACAGAGAGACAATGAGAGAGGGAACACAAGCAGAGGGGAGTGGGAGAGGGAGAAGCAGGCTTCCCGCTAAGCAGGGAACCTGATGCAGGGCTCGATCCCAGGACCCTGGGACCATGACCTGAGCTGAAGGCAGACACTAGCGACTGAGCCACCCAGGCATCCCAGTTTCTTGGTTTTGATAATTTTACTGTTGTTACATAAAATGATACCATTAGGGGAAACTGGATGAAAAGTATATAGGAATATCTTGTATTACTTTGTAATTTTTCTGAAGTCTAAAATTATTTCAAAAGAAAAAGTTAAAATAATATGTGGGTGGGTGGAGTATTTAGCCAATGACTCAGAAACTTTTGTATATATACACAAGGGGACATTCATTCATTCATTCATTCCATTTTTGTTGAGCACTTACAATGTATTAGAGATCATTCTAAAGATACATCAAAGAGCAAAACAAAATCTCTTCCCTCATGGAACTTACATTCTCCTGGGAGAAAAAGGAAGATAAAAAATAAACAAACAGCAACTGTGTGCGCGCGTGCGTGCGTGTGTGTGTGTGTGTGTGCGTATGGTGGCTATAAGAGCTATGAATACAAAAAAGGGGGGATATCAAAATAAAGAGGGCCAAGGTAAGGTGTGTCATTTTATAAGGGATGGTTAGGGAAGGTCTTTTCAACATCTATAAGAAATATAGTTGTGCTGCCTTAAAATAGAAATGACAATTATCCACCAAAAAGAGAATGGATAAATGTATTTGGGTATATTCATGCAAAGAGATACTTTACAAAAATGAAAATGAACAATAGAAAGCAGATATATCACCATATATGCAGCTCACAACCATAATATTAGGGAGGAAAAGTACACAGAAGTTATGAACAGTATATGCTCTCACTTATTAAAAGTTTAAAAACATGCAAAACAGTATTACAAATGGTTTAAGTTTACATATATGAAAAAATATATTTTTAAAACTGCATGGAAATAAACAACGCTAAATTCAGGTTTGTTGTACTAGTACTGAAGGGAAGCAGGTCTCCACCAGGGAAAGCACACAGTGGGTTCAAGTGTATTGATATTTTTTAACTAAATTTTATGCCAGGGACTGGGTATCCAGATAGATTTATTCTAGTCTTATTATTTTGTATATCTAAACTATTTTTAAAACCAATATATCAAAAGGTATGTGCAGTTGCTTATCTTATTTTTAAATGTATGAATTCAGTTTCTAAAAGTATTTGACAAAATGTGTCACCCTCAATATGTGTGTTATGCCTAATGGCATTATGCATACATATATAGGCATATAGATTTGTACATACACATGTGCATAAATGTATGTGTGTGTGTGGCTTTACATCAGGCATTGACCCAGCATCCGCAGAGAGAGCAATTTTCAATTATTTTTCTATGAAATGGTGAAGGAAGGATTTTTGTCAGTTGAACCCACACTTTTGCCCCTGCCCTTCCACCACAAACCCATGATAAATGTCATACATCTGCAGGATAGCTGTCCAGGTTATGGCAGCATAGTGTGGAACCATGCATAGTTATTCAACTTACTTGGGGACTGAATCTATCCTCCTCAATTGATAATTTTTCAATTTTTTAAAAAGTTGGATGGATGATGCTGACAGGAGACAGTCATATTATTGTCTCCAGTCACCTCATTTTATAGAAAAAGAAACAGATCAAGGGAGAACTCCAGACAGCATAGGTGACACAACTAAGCAATCTCTCTGATTCTTTCCATCAATACCTGTAGCATCACTAAATCTCCATGCAAGTACAGATGCAACAGATGAAAATCTTACCCGGAGAGAAAGGCATGCTCAGTCTTCTGTACCCAGATGAAAACATGAATCATTTAAAGAATGCATTCCAATAAATAAATCAATAAATCAATAACATAAAGAATGCATTCCTACAAACAAGCACAAACCAACAATGCAAACCACAATAGGCTAATCAACTCTGCAGGAAACTGGGATGCAATTTTTTATAATAAGATATTTTCTGTATTGTAATTCATATTTTATAATGTATAATATTAAGTGAACAAAGAATGATTTAGAAGGGGTGGACAAGAACATTTTCACACTTTTGGAATTGCAGATCTTCCCTCAAATCTTTAACTTTAATTTAAAAGCTATTTTACCATAAAATATAAGGCTCCTTGGACTATCTTATGCAGTTTGGTAGACTGTCACACTGACCACAAAATCACATCCATCAGAAGACAACTCAATGGGACATATACTTGATGAGTATTTACTATGTGCTCAACACTAACGATCTAGCAGTGAATACAGACAAACTTTAGGAAACAATATGGCACCCTGCATAATTTTAAGATAACGTGAATTTCCCCCTGAGTATCTGTATATGATTGTGCAGGAATGAAAAGATATGATGTGAGTGATTGATCACTCTTGGCTCTGAGGCTTGTATTCAAAATTCTTCTGAAATGCAAATATACTTTGTCATACCTTGATGATTTTGCTTAGTTATTAAACATGTCAACTCTATACTTAAGTTAGTTAAAAACTAATTCCAGGGATATTATTAACAAACTTTGAATATCTGGCATTTTATTTAAAAAACTTACAAGCAAAATTTCAGGTCTACCGGTTTTTATTATCCTGTTATTACCAAAACATCATCACACTATTTTTCTTTTTAAATCAATATAAAAGAAAAAATATATTTTCCTTTTAAAATCAATAATTTTGTCCTCAATCAAAATGAAATTATATGTAACAGACATATGTATGTATTCAATGTTTACCTTAAGAAGTAATTTTGGTCTGCCAGAAATGATGTTCCAAGAATTATTATAACATGTTTACTATTTGGTTCTAGGATTAAAACACCATCTTGTGCTGGAAGGTCTGCCTTGTTCCTACAAATACTTATCACCATACTGACTACAAACCCTGGAGTGGGAGGATATTCTTATCCATTGACTATTTGGAACTCCTTCAAGCCTCCTACCTTCTCATTTAGTATGTAACCTCCCAACTGTCTCTTTACTAGGGGGAATCATAGCAAAAAGGATAAAAGATAAGACACCAGCTTATTAGCAGTTAAACAGTTCAAAAGGCAGCCTGGCCACACCTTAAGTCTAAGGCACATTGGGCCATACATTTGATCATAATGGGATTGCAAGAAGCTAATGATCCTTACTGTAGTCACTATTTTCGTCCTTGGTCCCATCAATGGTACCATCTGGGTGCATCTGCAGGAAATATCCCTGCTGGCTGAATAACCTTGTCACAATTCCTTTCAGCTGGGGTTCTGCAAAACAAAATGAAATGATTATTCAAATTCTTATTTTGTTTATAAAAATACACACTTGCAAATTGTCCAAAAATTCTCTAAGTAAACTCACAAATGCCAAAGTCTTAAATATTGAAATAAACATTTGGAAAGGGCGCATTTCAGTAACATATCTTTACTCTTCTTTTTCCTTCTAGAGGCAGAGCCATAATACTATACAGCAGTAAACCAAAATACTAAAAACGTGAATTATTTCTCTCCCTCATGCATCTAGTGTCTGACTGCAAGATGCCACCAAGCTTATGGTCCCATTCCAGAATCACTATTTAGACCAAACTGCCACTATAATTCCTAAGCTTCCAACAGTCAAAATTAGGCCCTGGAAGACTTCTATTTGGGCTCAATGTCAACTATCCCTAAGAAACTTCTGGATTTTGAAATGCTGGTCAAGTTCAGCCAGAAAGAAAGAATGGCTTGTATGAGAACCACAGGAAAAAGCAAAACCCCCATGGTCATGAAATGTATGTGAAAACAGATTTCACCTTCAATAAATACCTCACCAAAGAGGAGCCCCAGCACTTCAAAAGTCATTTTTCCAGTACAAAATAAACAAACAAACAAACAAACAAATAAATAAATAAATAAATTCATACATATTTCTCTAAGTATTTCAAACTAGGAGTGGTCCTCAGCTTTTGAAAACTCCCTACACATTAATAGCATCAAGCTGAAACTTTGTATACCACATTTGGATTTTTATGTATCAGCTAACATAAATATTTAAAGCTTTCTCGTTGTGGTGCTGGCTGCCAACAATTCATTTTCTACAACATCATCACCATCTCTGTCTCTACTTCAGTACTGGGCAAAAATTAGAGTAGTCTAATGCATCCCTGAGGTAACAACATACTATCCTCAAAAGGACAATCACCAAATTTCAACTGATAGTCAATTTCATTCCTTCCCCCATTTATTCAACCAATATTTACTCCAAATCTCTTTTTTGTCAAGCAATATGCTAGGTATAGTGTGTTAAACAAAACACATTATTGATGTTTAATTCCAAATAAGAATTCTAGTTAAGGATTCAGTGCACTTAGCTCTCTGGGAAAGGGACCTGCTCTCTACAGCATATGTCTGTGGTTAAACTTTTTCACATACGGCTTGATCACATATATTCAAGAATATGAGTCAATGCCTATATAAACATGTCTTCTTCAAAGCAAGCCTAAGAAGCAGAAAAGATGCCCAAAAAATTGGGAATAAGGAAGCAGGGTTATGAAAAAAAAGAACTGAACTGGAAATTAGGCATTCTGATTGATAACTGTATGTTATATATGTGTGTTAAATAAATTCAATTTATTTACTTTGTGGGTCCTAATTTCCAATTATCAACACCATCTGAAGTGAAAATGAAATATCTTTAGATCCCTTCTATAAGTACCTATTGACCTGGAGTACCTTAGAATCCTCTGCCCTGGGTGGTGGCAGAAATCAAGGAATGGCTTCATGTTCAGTGTGTTGCCTCCATGGGCTCACCCAGTCTGACATACTAGGGACAAGTTGGAGGAACACATAGCTAGCTAAGATCACTGTAAAATAATATCCTGGACCGCTATTACCACTATCAAACCCTACCTACCAACTTTTCTAGGCTCAACTCAAGATCACCTCCTCTAAGAAAGCTTAGCTATCATAATTGCAGATCATTTTTATAATCAAGGGAAATAAAAAGAACATGTGAGCCTCTGCCATGAGGCTGATTGACAGACAGGTGCTAATATGCACACTTAATTCTATGTATGCAGCCAGAAGACCCAGCTTTGAACCACAACTGCCATGTGGTCCTGAGGAAGTCATTTTACATTTAAGGCTCAGTTGTCATACCTATATAAAGGGAAAAATAATTCCTATGCTAACTATAACCATTGAGAATTTCAATGAATAAATATAGGTGATAGTATGATTTGAAATCCATTAAGAATATAAATCCTCATAAAGGTCTGTTTTTTAATGATGAAAATCAAACGTCTTCTGATTTCCGTTTCAGTGAAATGTTAATTAAGCTTGTAAGTCATTAAAGTAAACAGTGGGCTAAGAGTAGAGGATAGAAAAAGACAGAAGAAAGGGACAACTGTCTTATATTTGGTATTTTATTTCTAATAAGCTTGATAAGGTCACTTAAAGAAGTCATGTTTTGGTTGGTAATGAGATGCATGGCAGCTGAGTCACTAATGCCAGCAAAAGTTTGTTTGTTTTATTCATGCTCCTCTTTCTGTAGCTGTAATTAAACACTTCTTTTGCTATGGTGAAGCTATCCCCCTCTTGGTGCCCTGGGAATTCAGGTTGGTAAATCCTATTCAAGATAATGAGCATCAGGCTTTTATACCATCCCTGACTGCCCAAAAGCAGTGCCAGAACAAGCCTGGAGTCTGAGTTTTAATTATGTGATGATCTATGAAAGCAAATGCCTTGTACTCTAGCTGTTTCAAAGGAGACACGACCATCTATTGAACAAATGCCCTGAACCTAGGATGTGTCATAGAAAGCCAGGCCTGCCTATACCCTGATTACCATCTATCAAACCCTACCAACCTTTCTGGGCTCAGCTCAAGACCATCTCCTCCATGAAGGCTTGGCTATCATAAGTGTGGATCATTTTTATAATGGGGTGTGGAGAGGACATGTTTTGTTGTATTTTAAAGAAAGAGGTTAAAAAAATGAGACCACTTTTTGGTACATCTAAAATCCTCAGGCACTCAACAAATTTGCTTTTTATTTGTCAGACAATACTTGGGGATCTAAGAGATGAATAATTCCTGTGCTGTCCTCATGGAGCACCCAGTCTAATGTGTGAAACGTATTTATGTATAATACCGGTGTGGGGTAGGTGTTAAATAAGGGATAGAAGCAGAGTGGCATGATGGCACCAAGGAGTAAGGGACTAATTCTGTCTCAAGGTTGGGTGAAGGCACCTCATCCATCACTTGGAAGAGTAAGTGGCATTTTAATAGGCAAAAACAAACAAATCAAAACAAAGCCAAAAACAAAAACAAAGAAAGGGCATTCGAGACAGATAAATAATAGATATTTTCGAATTTATATGATTCTACTTGATTCTAAGATAATGTTCTTCTATTATTATTATTTTTTTAATGAAATGATGGCTATATTATTAGATGGTGAGGTGGCAGGGGTTTGGTTAGTTATCTTTGTACTCTAAAATGGTGTGGCAAATGCTGCTAGCTTTTCTCCCAAATCCATTTCCTCTTTTTCCTGGGCACCCAGCTAGACCATATGTCCTAGCCTCCCTTGCAGTTAGGTTTGGCAGATGAATGAGTGTCATATGGAATGTAAGTGGAAGTGATGTGTGCCATTTTCAGGCCGAGGCTTTTAAAAGCAAACATTCTCTTAATGCTGGCTGGATTTAGATGACAAAGCCCTAGGGATGTCAACAAAATAGAAGAATGCTGGACCTCTGAATAACTGATAGAAAAAAGACAACAGCCATCAGAAATACCCATTTTGGACAGGTGAACAGGAAATAAACTTCCATTGGTCCTGCATAGTGACATCCTTCCAAAAAGTACAATAGGAAAAGGGGGAGGGGATGGAGTAATTTTACAGCAGAGAAACCTGACAAAAAAAACACTACCTCAGCAAGGTGATCAAGGTTACTGTCAACAGTCATAAATCATGCTGATAATATGTACCCTTGATATGATGTGATGAGATTGGCACTTTACCTCCGTGATTATCTCCAAAACTCATAACCCCAGTCTGATCATGAGAAAAACACTAGACAAACACCAACTAAAGGACATTCTACAAAATAGCTGACTAGGAACACTTAAATTGTCAAGGTCATCAAAAACAAAAAAAAGTCTAAGAAAATGTAACAGCCAAAAGGAGTCTAAGGAGACATGACAACTAAATGAAATGCGATATTCTAAATGGGATCCTGGGACCAAAAATGAATAGTAGGTTAAAACTAAGGAAATCTGAATAAATTATAGACTTTAGTTAATCATGATGTATCAATACTGATTTGTTAATTTTCATAAATATACCAAACCAATGTAAGATGTTAATATGGAAATCTGGGTGTAGTTTATATGGGAACTCTTTGTACAGGCTTCACTTTTCTATAAATTTCAAACCATTCTAAAATAAGAAATTTAGTGATAATTACAGCCACAAAGCAAGTTAGGAATTTAATTCTCAAAGAGGCTGGGTGAGAAAGTAGGTAAAGGATAGGAACTCAGGCTCAACACTGCTTCCCTTCAGGATGACATGGCGATTTCCACAGCAGTTTGAATTCAAGGCCCCTCAGGAGAGCTGGGATCTGGAAGAGCTCTCTAGACACTCCTGCTGCTTTAACATGTAGTGCAGGGGAACAGTTACCTAGGTATGTACTGGAAACCCAGAGCAGGCTGGAATGATGGGGGCCTGATCATACATCTCAGGATGACCACGGGATGGCAGAAAATAAAATACCTTCCTTCAACAATGTCAAAGATTAAAAAAAAAAAAAAAAAAGCTGAGGCTCAGAGGGAAAGTGTCTTGTCTAAGGTCATCCAGCTAACACATAGTTGATTTAGGACGAGAACGCCTCTCCTATACACTGGATGAACATCATCCTTTCCTTTCAAAGAGCAGCTAAGACATAATCTATATCTTGTGCAATCTAGGGGCTTGGGGAACAAGAAGGTAGAGAAGCGAGGAGGGAGAGCACTGAGTTGTGTTATCATTTATTAGAGTATGGGGACGATAAAGAAAAGGGGTTTTAGGAAACTGTGCAAGAAGTACATATATACACAATAAATATCTTTGATACTACAATTAGATTGTATTTATCTAGGGCCCACCTATTCAACATTTGCACTCAAAGTTACAGATAAAGTGCCTCATGTAAACACTGAACTAAAATGAAAAATACTAATTGATTCATGAATTAAAATGAAAAACATAACCGTGATCCAAACTTTGATATGGAGGCCATATCCAGAGAATTAATA